TTTTTTTTAATAATAATTATTAAAACGATATAATTTTAAAATAAACATGTATTATTTTTGTATATATATATATAAACTACGAGAGGCAGTAGGAAATTTGTCCTGTTGGGTTGAGAAGGGGACATCCCATGTTTTTTTCCCCAAGCATGGTTAGTTAAAGTTGTGACATAGGCAATAATAGGAGAAAAAAAAAAAGCATTTCTTCATCCAGCACACATTAATTCTTTCATGCCACGCAAACAACCCCTAACCACAACCAACCTCTCGGCTCACTCCTAACTCTCAAATTATAATCACAATTCACAAATACACACCCGACCTAATTGCTCTATTGCATGCTTATTTTTCTTACGGATAGTATAAAATTAACTAAAGTGAATAACTCTTTGTTTTTCCAATCATTACAACTTATTTTAATATTGAAACTTCTAACCTCTAATTTAGAGTTTAAAAGCACATCAACAGATAAAATAATTATTTTTCTAGTTGATTAAATTAAGTATAACACATGTCCTTCGCTTTTACCTATTCTTTATTTTCTAATTCATATTAATAAAAATAATTAAGAATAATCACTCCTTATTTGCTTTCATATTTATCTAATTTACTTTTTTTTAATTTGATTAAGAAAGAACCATTCCATCCGGCCAAACATACCATTAACCATTTACCTTCATAGAACTTCTTGCCCATAAATATTATACGACACCGTTTATTCCAATAGTATAACCAACGGTATTTCGCTACCTCGGCGGGAAGCGAAATTAATCTTAAACTTCTGGGCATGTTAACGTGTTGCTCCGTCGACTGAAGTTTCGTGGTCCCAACTTACTTGATTTATCCACGTACGTATCGGTCGGAATAATCAGTGGTCAAATGAACATGTGATTGCTTGACAAAATTGTGTTACAGTGGTATAGCGTGTACCTGATCATTATTCTTTTCATAGTCTCCTATATATTCTCCGATTTGTCAGCTAAGGCTTCGGGCTTCCCGTTTTGCCTTCCCCTTGGCTGATCCAAAATGGAGAAAGCCACATCTTCCCGTTCCGATTCAAACGCCATTTCCGCCTCCGCCAATGCTACCAAGAATCAGAACTGCACTTCATCATCATCACCTCCGCTTCGCGATCACGACCAGTACCGATGCCCCCAAGATTTCGTTACCAATTTCACTTCACTGCATCATTCCATTTTCCCACCAAAATCTCACCTCCCTCCCTCCTCCCACTCGCCCTCCGGTTCCTCCTCTTCTTCAGATGATTTCCAGGTGCTCCTTGACCCTATCTCTGACGCCATCGCCACTGAGCGCCGACTCAACCAGGCGCGCCTCATCCTGGAGTACCACCAACTCTGTCAACACTACGATCTGTGCCTTGCTCGTCTCCAGGTCCTCTGTCAAGAGCTCGAGACACTTCGCAGGGAGAATGCTGATCTCCGCTTGACCAACTCGGAGCTAGTCAAGCTCTTGAGCCTCTCTTCTCAGGCGGTGATGAAACGAAGTCTACGAAATGAAGACATTGCGAATTTCAACGTGCACAGTGAGACAAGGAGCATTAAAAATGTGGAGAGTTCGCTGCCGAAGAGTACCTCAATCAGGTCGAGTGATTACCCGAAGAACCAACAGCAAGGACCGAGTCGGATGCGAGTCGCGCCTCCACTCGTCTCTGGATCTGTAAGTTCATCATGATCGGTCTCGTTGTTTCCAACTTTCCGTTTAATTAATTTTTCTATTATTCTTTCAAATAAGTTCGTGCGATTTGAATACGATTTCCCTGGCCAAACAGGAATTTTAGATACTAGTTGTTTATTCGTTTGAATTTTTTTATATTATATAAAATTTCTCATTTTTTTATTAATTTATTTTCAATTTTTGCCTGTTCATTAGCAATGCCTATTTATTTACCAATCACGGATTTTGAAATGTAATTTGCGGTCATTGATATTATTAGTAAAAAAATTTAGTTAAGAGGTAGTCACATTTCACTATTAAAAAATTTTAAATTTAATTACTTTTTATTATGTAATTAAAATAAAAAAATTTAATAAAGTCATCTATGTAATGAATTAGGTGTTTTAACAAAGATTAAGTATGTGCTTATCCTTGACTCAGTTTGAGGCGTTCTGTTAATCAGTTTCTTTTTGAGGCAAACATAAAATTTTATTAAAATAAAAAATTATTTACACGGCAGGTTGGTAAGAAAAAACCATTACTATTTTAAGAGGAATTGTTACGTGTGTGAAGGTGCAGCAGCAGCGAGTGTGTGTGCCACTAGGGGATCAGCAAGGGCAAGAGGAAGAGGCATTGGAGTTCGAGGCGTACAATCGAGGAATGATGAAGACTGAGCTGTGCAATAAGTGGCAGGAGACCGGCTCGTGCCCTTACGGTGACCACTGCCAGTTCGCTCACGGCATCTCAGAGCTGCGTACAGTTATCAGGCATCCAAGGTACAAGACCGAGGTTTGCAAGATGGTTCTGGGCGGGGAAAGGTGCCCGTACGGCCACAGATGCCACTTCCGTCACTCCCTTACCGAGCAGGAGCGGATGCGACTGTGACGTTGATTTAGAGGTTTGGTTCTACAGAATGTATAGAATTTAAGAATACCCCTGCTTAAATCTGATAAAATAATCGTAAACAACAAACACCAAATAATAAGAATTGATAATTAATTGCTTTTGAGGGTAGAGTTTTTAATGTACTTTGGCTGATATTATGATAGATATTGATGTATTGTATGTCATGGTGATGTCTGTAGGAGTAATTCTTAAAATATTGCATGAAAAATTGATGTTTACGCATAACCAACCATAACAACAAACTCAAACTTTTGTAATGGTGATGTTTGTTCTGGACACAAAAGTTTGAGTTTGTTCTGGACTGGTATACGCAACGTTCAATTCAAGGAATCAAGTTAGTTATAATCTACCTCCCAATTTCTCTTTAGGTTAGTTGGGTCATTTTGTAGATGTGCCTTTTGGTGGAGTGGTGAATGCAAGATAAATGATGATATTGTTCAAAAGTTTTTGGTTGGATGATGTGGACTCTAGACTATGCTTCTCTCTCTTCTAGGAGACTGGGTTGTTTGTGGGTCCAGAAGTGCTAACGTAATCTAGTAAGTTATCTCCAACAACCTGTTGTTGATTCATGTAACTTTTGGATATCCTGATGTGCTCTAGCTCCTGCCATTTGCACTCCGTTGCCCTTTGGCACTCAATATTTGATCTTTTTTAGGATATTTGTGGAACTAACAATCATGTGCCTTAATTCTGGAATTCTGATAGAATCTGGAAAAGCTGGCTTCCCTTACCATCATGTTCTAATGATGGGCTTTCGAAATATTAATGTTCTAAAAATTATATCAAGCTGCCATTTATGCCATATGTAACTTTAAAAATTTATCTTTTCTTGTGTTAGTAAACTCAAAAAATTAAATGTGGTTAATTTTTATAAATGTAGAGTTATCTATCAGTTTGCAACATTTTCTGTTTTTGGACTACCTGCTAAAGAAGGGCAACTTAAATGGTGATTGTAGTGGATTGTCTTTAGCTGTTTGTGAAAGCAGAGATCATTCAAGTTAGTATTTATGTTATTTGTTGGGTATCTGGTGTAGTTATGCAATTATTTTGTTTCTCTATTCAATGTTGACAATGTCCTTTTCTAAGCAGTCTAAATCTTCAGTCATTTGAAAATTTTATTACTACTTATAAATCACCAAGATTACTCTGTACATTTTGAATGGTAACTTAGTTTTTCATCAATAATTTTAGTCTAGAAAAGTTCTACCAGTAGATATGCAATATCGATTTACATCAGGAAAGTTGGAACTTACCATCTTTCCCTTCTTTAACTCCTTGAAATAAATGCTTCTATTAGAAATTAAATAATAATTGGATTAGTTCAAGTTATTACAGGGTTACATTGGTTTCGATTTAATCTGAAATGGGAGTTTGTTGATAATACATGAAAAGAATTTCTTAGAAGGGCACTATATGAATTGCTTAGGTTAAGAAGGGACTGGGGACTGATATTTCCAGAGGGCCATAGTTGTTCTTGCTTGTTTTCTAAAGGTTGTTTTTAAGGGCAACAGTGTCATACCATAACTAGTGCTGATGTATCACTGCAATGTTAATTAATATCAGTAAATACAATTTGGCTTATTGAAGGAGAGAAAAAAGAAGAAGAGCAGAAATGAATTCAATATCAAACAACAGGTTTAGAACTTCTCCAAAATCAAGCAATGTTTTTCTCTCTTGCATAAGACACCAAAAAACTATTCCAAATATTATTCTATTATTTATTACAAACCTTTTAATTGGATTGTACTTCTTAGGTGACAGTCTATGATATGAATGGCTTTATAAATTTTCCAAACTGAAGTTCACTAACAAAAGATGTAATGAGAGAAAGCGTTTCCAAGCCATCTTATTGGGTGGACTTTGGGTAGGTAGGAAGAATTATATTCTTTTCTTGGTTAATAATAAATGACTTGCAAACAATAGCCATAAATCATACCAGAAAGGTAAACACTAGCTTAATGACTTGCCAAATTTTGGATACAACCATTTCTCTATATCAATGCGCATCTCATAATACTGTCCCCACACGCGCCTTATCTCCTGTTATAAATTGAAATGTATTCTTTAGTTTCCACAAAATATTTGAATAACAAAAAACCCAATTGGTCATATGTGAGTCAATCAGATAGCGCATATTCGAGTTCTTTCTAAGGGAACTAAAATCATAATAATTGGCAGTGCAGTAATACCAATTAGTTTAGACATCTCATTTTGAGTATCAAACATAGAGTACAGTTCCATTACAGGTTCATGGCGCGTGAGTTGGAATAGTCTTCAGATTTTCTTTCCAGCAAAGCTCATACTGGAACTTGTGGTGAGGACTCTGTTAATTACCTTTTCTTTGCTCTTTCTTATCATAAGGTGATTCCAGCTAGATGCTAAAATTAGCTTGAACTTAATGCTTCTTACTCAGTCTGAGTAAATGTTATTGTTCACTGCCTTGTTTATATACCATACCCTCCCCCATCCTTTTTATTCACTCTGGTTTAGAATTATCTCTCAACATGAATAGACTTTTGGCAGAAAGGCTAGCCATGGATTTGAATCAGTCAGCACCAATGGAGTTTGTCATTTCTTCAACACATTCTCCACAGATTCAAAACTTCATGTCAATGAGTTCACCAACTTTGCCATATGAGCAGACATCTAAAGAGGTTAGAAGCACCAGTCTGATCAATTGTGTTAATTAATGGCCAGGGCTTTATGGTCTCATTTTACTGGTCAAATATTTATGCCTTTCATTTTGTCATTATCATCTGCTTATACTGTCTGTTCACCTTGTCATGTGAAATGATGATGAATTGAAGAACTGGCGTCTTCTGCATTTGAACTGCTGTTTAGACCAATTTTGGAGTCAGCAAAAGCTGGAGATTCAAAATGCTCCAGGTTCTTCTATCAATTTTATATTATATAAAACAATTTGATATATATAATGGTTGTAAATATATAAATTTTGGTAAAATCCTTAATTTTCCTGAAATTTACCAGGAGTCTTTTATCATACATAAATCAATGATTTATCGTAGGGTATTCATATTTACTTCCAAATGATGAATTTCCAGCCTATTTGATTGATAGTTGAGGACATTTATGATGAATCTGTAATTTTTTATTATATTTTCTGTTTTAGCCTTAGTTTGAATGAATGAAGCATATGTAGCATCTACATCATTTACGTGTTCATTCACATCACTGTGCATTGCCCTTTTTTGTCACTATTTTCCTGCTACCCAATTGCTGTTTGTTGGTTTTCCTGCCGAATTGTAGATTTCAAGGACCTGAATCAGCTGCCTTTAGCAAGGATCAAGAGGATTATGAAGTCTGATGAGAATGTGAAGGTCTATTATGAGCTGATTGATTTTATCTTGTATCTTTCTTTATTTTTAACCATCTTTTTCCTTCATGTGAACCTGACATTTGGACTTCCAAACAGTTCAAAAGTAAATAACTATTGCCTTTCTTATTTATTTATTTATTTTTTATCTTGGCCATCAAATAACTATTGCCTCTCTTGCTTGCATTTTTGATTTGTAAATCATCTGAACATTTTTTTCAAGCATATCCCATCCGTCATAGTTATTATTTATCCTGAAAAAGAAATAGGTTGGTGCCATTTTTTTAACTTACAGGTTTATCTAGTGACCAAAGACATCATACTGTGCCAATGATGGCGATAAAGTGTTGTTTTGTGCAGAAATGAATACAGAACAAGATTAAAATTAAAGTTATTGAATCCAAGTTCCCAAATGTTAGAATTGCTTTACAATTAGATTCAACTGGCCTACCTTGTTCACCTTGCTTATGTCTTTTGAAGATTCTTACTTTAACCTATATGACTAGATGGTCGGGGCAGACACTACTATCTTGCTCTCCAAGGCATGTGAGCTCCTCATTTCAGAGCTCACGCTTCGTGCATGGCATAAAGCTGAGGAAGTTAAGCGCCGAACAATTCAAAGCTGTGACATTGCTAGGGCTATAAGGCAGGTTGATGCACTTGATTTCTTGGCTAAAGCTGCTCCCTTGGAGGACTACCATAAGGTTTTTCTCTTCGCTCTTTACCATTGTGTAATTAAAATAATAATGCCGTGAAGTGAAAGCAATATGTGAAGTGTTAAGAAAAGAGGTGATTTCTAACTGTTCAATTCAATTTAGGATGATGATAAGAAATGTTCTGAAGGCTATCATCATGTTAACCATCAGCCTTTTCCTCTGTTGGACATGAATTCTGTGAGTAGTACAAATCAGATTGTTTGTTAAAGAATCTATATGCCATTTTTATTTTATGAACATCCCTGTTGATTAATCTCCTTTGAATGGTCTTGTTCTGAAGAAACCTGAAGCCCAGCAGGTGAGGGTGAAGACACCTACTTCTGTTCCATTCAACTATGGACCTCTCAATTATGGACCTCCTACCAAGGTATGTACTCGGGGATATTTTCTATCCAGAAACAGAATCAATCAGAATCAAACTATATACATGTGAGAAATTTGCTTCAGAAAATAAGAAAAACTCAATTTATCATAATCAAACTACACAATGCACCTTTCATTCTATTCTGATATTGCTTTCAAACTCAAGGGCCTGTTTCAAGTCCTATCAAAGAGCTTGCTTTATCCAAGTAAAATATACTCATCCATTAGTATGGTTAGGTCGCATTTGGGAATGCAAATTTGAACTTGAGATATGCATTTCGCACACATGTATTATAAAGCCAAATATTAGAAATATGCTTTTGGAATAAAAATATAAAATATAACAACCACCATGGAATTTGAAGCATTTACATTTGAGGAAGTAGATGTGCAAATTAATTATTTTTGACATAAGGAGAAAAACAGACATACAGATATGGTGGGTATTTAAAATGGAATTTAATCTGAAACAGAATGACCTTACGATTGTTATTCAATTTTGCAGGTCATGAGGCTCAGTGAAAGCAACAATGGAAAGGGGAGAAAATGGTAGCCGGAGCAAGTCAGCATCTGATAGAAACTATCATCTCATATGACTATTGAATAAAACAGAGACTTATCTTCTAATAGAGATATGATTTTCCTTTGTTAGGTGATGGTGTTGTAGGACGGCCAGAAAAGAATAATGGTTCTCTAGACTTTATACAAGTTCATTATAACATCATTGAATGCTTTTGTTTTGGGATTTCTTATGTTAACAGTCTTTTATGGAGAGGATGATATA